CCGAAGAGAAGAAGTTAGTTCGCGCACAGACGGCGGAGATGAGGGACCAGTAATTCAGAAACCGAAGAGAAGAAGTTAATTCGCGCACCGACGGCGGAGATGAGTGACCAGTAATTCAGACTCTGAAGAGAAGAAGTTTTTGAGCCCCGGACGGCGAAAGAGAAGTTTTTGAGCCGTGGACAACAAGCAGAGATGAGCGCCCAGTGTTGAAACCGCGTCAAGATAGCTGACCAAGATTCACGCACACTTCTGGACTCTTCTTCAACCAAGAACAAGTAGTTTGAAGAGCGACTTAGATCAGACCACAGAAATAAGTTTTTTCGACTTTCGTCCAAAGACACACCGAAACACAAATTTCTTAGAGAGCAGACAACTTGAAGCCTTAAAGTTGCCTAGTAAAAGCGTCGTGCCACAATCCACAGAACGGGTCGGGAAGTAGACATAGTCCTATGTACCGAACAAATAGACATAAAAAGTTTGTTACCTTTTTTTTTGATACGTTGGACCTTTGTGAGTTTTTATTTTATTTTCTTTTTACATACATAATTGTGTGTTATCACCCCCGTTGAACTCAGCTTGCATTACGGCCCCAACCCCCGTTTGATCTCGTCTGTCTAAGATCAATTCACAACGTGGGTAGGCAGACTGGAGATCAGTGCAGTTACCCTGGTAACCAGGCGTTGGAAGCGGGTTGGGAACGGCGAGGCTGGTATCAATCTAACCAAAGGGTTAGAACGTCACGTTTTGGAGCAGCGAGGAGCGAACAGCTGACGCCGCGACAAAGACGTCACAACTGGTGCTGTCCGTGACCAGGATATCAGAGCCTGGGGGCACGTGACGTCACAATTGGCGCCGCGACCGGGATCGAACGACACAGTCGACGCTGCGACCGGGGACGACGTCATATTAACTTAAATATTTCTGAAATTACAGGATCTTTAAAAGACGGTTTCTAATTTATAAGGTATAAATCTCATCAGACAAAAATATCCACCTTTTCCAGGTTAAAATATCACTTCATGTTCACGTAAACTTATTCCCTTCTTTTGTTTTATATTTGTTATACGAATCAAACCTGAAAAACATTATATTAACGTCTTCCCTGTTGCATTATTATTTGTGTCTGCCGATTCGTTTTCGCAAAAATTTTAAATTGACATTACTGAAAATAGATGACTACACAAATGGCTAAATCCGATTTTTCAAGGCCGCAGCCATGTTTATTTTCAAGCGGATATTCTTTTGTACAAACAAAACTAACCGACACCCAGAACAAAGAATATAATAAAATTGAGTCGCAAAACAGGACTTATTGTCAATACTGTGTCTAAACTAGTTTGTAAATAAACATAAGATTTATGTCAGTTTAAACCACGAGTGTTACTGGTACAAAGTAACAAGTACTACCGTCAACATTGTTGGATTATCGGTGAGTAAAGTGGTTCATCCACCAGTCTTTAATCCTGAGGAGAATTAATAGACACCCAGTCATTTATGTGCCATGCGTGATACATGACTGACGAGGCAGATTTATTCCCGCAGTATGGTGCCATTTCTTTCTGCGGTTGACCAGTTGCCATTCAAGGCTATAGAACCGGGTCTTTCTTGCTATTTACCCATGGCTGGTGGGGATAGAGGAAGAGAATTCATACATTTCCCAAGGGTATTAGAACGTAAGTGAATGCAGCAGGACTGATTTATAACAAGACCAGTTAGAGAGCGGATTAAACATCTAGCGGAAAGGGGCAGAAGAAGGTAGACTGACCTCGGCATTTATGTATGCAGCCAGTGCGGTAATGTCAACAGCCAGGGCGGTGTCTTCCCCGATGAAATCAACGGTCACGTATCTATGAGCAAGGCCAGATGGCAGATATAAACTGTGGTTTGACTTAGAAATGGATGAGCACCGGCAGTTTTGCTTCCCTATGATACGTTATACTTATATATATATATATATATATATATATATATATATATATATTAGCCTAGTGAGCCAGACAAACCTAAAAAGGTTTCATTTTTTTGTTCAACGTCAGGAAAGCTTTCCCCCACGATCCGATTATGTGAAACCTAAATAGGTTTTTTTGTAATTTAGGTTTGACTAAATTCTGCTCTACGGTTGTATTTGGTTTATCTTTTTTAGTTAGTTGTTTACTCGTGTCAGGGTTTTTTTTTTGGGCTTCGAACCTGTATCTGTCCGATTTTTTGTACACAGACTTTCATGTTCCTGGCTCTTTCTTTTTTTTTAAAACATTTTTTTCCTTCGAGATTGATTTGATTATTGGCAAATCAAAAATCCGAAGGTTTTTCGAATGAATAGTTACCTATATATATATATATATATATATATATATATATATATATATATATATATAGAGAGAGAGAGAGATAGAGAGAGATAGATAGATAGATAATAAAATATTTTTTTACGAATTAAATGCCTATTAAGGAATTGTATTCCTGATCAATCAAAATTTGTAAATAATTATATAGGCCACACTACAACATGTTTGACACGCAGACTCACTCTACACCTTTTTGACTATAGCTCAATTAGATCTCATTTAAATATTCATGGAGACCTACCGGACATTATTCGTTACATACTTATTGACAACACTAATATGATAGCATCCTCTACATAGAAAAAATGGCTAAAAATAATGGAAGTCTTATTAATAAAAACAAAAATTAAACAACACTTAATTCTATTAACTATGAATATGGACACAATATTTTGACGGTGTTTTGAAAAAAGAAAACATTTTATAAAACATACATGTAACAAACTATTTCTTATTTTCTTATTTCTTGTCCTTGAAAATGGCTAAATATATAGCCAAAAGCGTTCGGATAAAAAAAAAAAACATTCGGACAGTTTTTATATAATTTATCATCTGAAAAGAAAAATATTAGATTGCATGAGAAATTATATAAAAAAAAACTAAGTAAAACCACCTCGACTGTCGTATTCAATGAAATGTGCATGAAAGAAAAATTACTGCCTAAATACACACACATATATATATAACGTCATCCACAGACAGACTGTTTCGATGTTTACAGCTCATCAGCGTGGCTAGATATCCGGTTGCCTCTAGCTAGGATCGAAACCCGACTGAATTGGTGTCAGTCGGAGTTTCTAACCACTAAGCCGTCGGCGCATGGTAGGAATGAATGTGGATTTTTAGCATATTTATTTTTTTTTGGCATGCCCAGTGACTGACAGTGACTCAATTCGCTTTCGTGAAGAGTCTCGCTATATAATATAATAGTCACTGTTTACCGACCCACACCTCACCCCAGAGTGCTCAACTGAAATTAATTTCAGGATATATATATATATATATATATATATATATATATATATATATATATATATTATATATATTCATTTACGTATAACGTATCATGGGGAAGGAAAACTGGTGGTGCCCGTCCATTTCTAGGTGAAAGATTCATTGTTAAACATAGCATACAAACCAATATTTTTTGTCCTCGGATCTTATGAAGCTTTGAATGGCAAAATGCATCGCCAAATCTATTTTTAATCAAATATTTTTTCATGAAACTTTTACAATTGTAAAAGTTTGACAACTTTGTCGGGATATCTATATCTCAATTTTGAAACACATTCTGTCCACACAGAAATTCCATGTATAAACGAAAAAGAACTCTTATTTTCAACCCATTCTGAAGGATTGTATGAGGTTTTTCCTTGGATTCGTGTCAAAAGAATGTCTTACATTCAAGCCATTCAGAAAATGAGAAATGATTTGCCTTTAATTCGATACGTAAAAGCTGAGAAATTACATTAAAAAAACTTTTAATTCGAACTAAGATACGAGTAAAGACGGCAGATTAAATATTAACGACATTTTTAAAAGTCACTCATTTTCTTTCTTTGATCACGAGAAACTCTAGCTAAGGGAAAAAAATTACAAGATGCAACAAATACAGACATCATCGAATTTGATAAAGCCTTATATGGCAATATGCATTACCAAACCTATTTTTTAATCAAATCTATTTTCGGGAAAAGTTTCCAAATATTAAAATTTAAAAACTTTGTCGGGATTTCTATGTCTTAATTTTAAAACATATGATGTCTACACGGAAAACGCATGGATAAACAAAAAAAAGATATATATATATATACTGTATGTGACAATGAAATTTTCCAAATCGTGCAACAGAAAATTTGTCCAAACAGCAAATTTGTTATCTTTAAACATTTCTAAAATGTGACGTTCCAAATCTTAATATAACTTACTGGAATTCTCTGAGGTTTTTCTAACACTACTGAACTCTGTTTTAAGCAATAAAAAAGGATAATTGCTCTACAATCTTCACTGAAAAATCGTGATGAATTCGATCGTAAACGAAAATGACATATTCACCATATTAATCATAGATAAGGATCGGAAGCTCATGAAGGATTGAAAAAAAGATTTTGTATATATAAATATATATATAGTAAACTGCAGTAACAAAGTACCTCACACGTTTCACGTACGATTTCATTTTCAAGTCTGTTTTATCTTTGAACTGTGATATTTTAAATTTTTTCTCACGTGCCAAATTGAGTTGAATCTTTTCTTATTGATCACTTTAGCTCTAAGTTAAAATACACTCAGGCACACACACACAAATATATATATATATGTGTGTATGTATATATGTATGTGTATGTCGAAAACAAGCAATGTAAGTTACATAAAGACATATAAATCGATGTAGCGTCTCAAATAAAAATTTCTTACCATATTTACTCTTGATAAATTATAAAACGTATTTGCGATCGTCAAAAACGCGTCCTATTTTGTCTAACATGGTTTTCAAAAAATCTCGCCTCATTACACTCAAAAATATTAATGAGTCTTTATTTTTAAATATATACCTTTAAAAATAAAATTTATTTACAAATATTTACTAAAACAAAGATTTTATTTATTCGCCTCATTAAAGGAATATATTAATGAGTCTGTTAGTGTTCAAACCTAAAATAAACAAGACATTTTAGGACGCCTCTCCAGCGACAGAAATGAAATGTTAAATTGCCATTTTATAAAAGGAATTACAAAGAAGAAATTTAATTTAAAAAAACCTAAAATAAAGTTAAAAATGGTCAGGATGAAACAACGCCTTTCCATAAGAAATGAAATGTTTTGGGATTTTTTAAATGAAACAAATTTAACGGAGAAGGAAAAAGTTCATCACCATAAAAAAAAGGGGATTGTCAGATATGCAATGTCGCCTTGTCGAGTAATTCGAAAAAAAAAACAGAATGGAACGCCGAAAAACTAGAAGGATGTGTTGGGAACTCAAAATGAAAATATTAACTTTATCCATGAATAGTTCACTATATGACGTAATTTAAAAAAAAGATCTGTCAGATAGTGAATGTCGCCTACCATTATTTTGTTAAAATTCAAGGAAAAAAACATGAAATGTGTGGTAGTAATTAAAAAAGCCAGTTGTTCAAATAAACGTAATTTTTGTTGCAATCTTTTCGCGTACTAATAAAATCAGTATTTTTGAGCAAGAAAAATTCAAATTATGTTATTATTAATTTCAAATACAATCACCCAAATTCAGTTGACCAGATTGTTCGTACTGTCGAAGTCTCTGCCTTGGGTCTTGCAGTGTTGCTATGCTGGGTATAATTCCAGTGCTATCAAGGTGTTTCTAAAAACGCTTTGGAATCGACAAACGTGCTCCATTAACACACTCTCGTAATATGTGAACTGTACTTGTGAGTACATTATTTTTCTATTTCTTTAAGCATGAACTACACGACTACTTCATTGGATCTATCGGAACGTTTTTCCAATCAGTCCGAGGGCTCAAACTACAACTGGGATTATTGATGTCGTCTTTGGCCACATTTTTTTTCTTTTACATTTACACTTAAAGATCCTTGTTTTAGAAGAACTTCAAAGATATATGACAATCTGCAGGGACTGCTATGCTAATCAGGAAACACATTCCGTTTTTGCGGTCTTTGATAAGGATCTTTCTTTTTGTGGTTTTTAACATATTCAATATCATTATCATTATTATTATTTTAAATACCACATGGGCAATGTTTTCACGCATAAAAACACTGTTAATATAAATTATATCAAAATTATTACCAAATACTAATTACCTGTAATCATCATCTTCATCATCATCATCATTATTAATTGAGTGGTTATAAGAGTGCTTGAATGAGTGTATGTGTTGATCTGGGCTACAGATATACGAAGCCTAATATATTCATGCTGACAGCCATTCTGATAATGGCATACCAAGCACATTAATCGCAGCCAAATGTATACGACATCGTGATAGGTTTTCATAAAACTATTTATGCAGGTGGGGCCCACTTAGCAAAAAAAGAGATAAAAAATGGTCAGGAATCTTGGTCCGGTCAAACGGTCTCTGACTCAGGCTGTTCCCAAATATCTATATTCGGTCAATTCGACGGAAGGGCATTTAATGAAGAATTATATTTTATTTGATGATAATACTACAACTAATAGTACTACGACTACTACTACTAATAATAATAATAGTATTAATAATAATAATATTAATAATAATAATAGAAAGAATTATACCAAAGAATTAAAACAAATATGAGATGTCGGTGAAATTTTCAGAAATGATTAGAAAAACTGAAAGATTCGTGATATTTTCCTAAACGGTTACAAGAATTGAGAATCTTAGTTATATCTGAATGTATTTCAAAAGCAGTATTGATGAAATCAGCAAGATCAGTGAGGTGAATATAGTATTATTGAACAAACAAGCTGCCATTTAATCTCCTGCGATTACTGAGGGATATGTCTATATAATAATTGTAATTGGGCACTTCGCCGTGCTGTAACGTTTAGCAAGCTTATCTTGCTAAATCAATTACGACTGAGTAGTGAGTTTCATCTTCAATGAATATCTACGACTTCCGGTTTTCTACCATATCTAAGCTTTGCTTAGTAAACCACTATAATAACTCTTATTTTATCATATTGAATAACAAAACCAGTCTAAAAAAAACTTATGTAGTGCCAATATTAAAATAAGATGTAACGGTGAACGGTATCATTAATGAATTCAGCAAGTTATTTCAAGATGAATGTATAAAAAATATGATAAAGCAAGGACATTTTTGCATTAAGAAGAGTGCAAAATATATGGCTTTCAATATGTAAAAAAATTCTATTATATGGACCAAAAGCTGTCCTAGAAAATAAAAAGGACGTCATGTCCATATAACTCTAGTGATGCTATGTGAGTTACAAAAAAATCATGAAATATACCCATAAAAACACATCGCTACCTGCCTTACGTTTTCCCACAAACTTGTTACTTATTGTGTGACCATAGTAGAAATCGGAATATAATAATAATAATAATAATAATAATAATAATAATAATAATAATGCAAGTAAAGCAAAATACACCAGCTGAAGCTGCAAAATTCTTAAAAAACACAGCAAAGACGAATGCAACCGCCCAGATACAGAAGTGATGGCAAGACAAACAGCTTCATAGCCAATACTCTGCCCGTACCAAACAAGCTAACGTAGGCAAAATCCGTACCCATCAGTGGCGACGTAGTGAAGGCTTGAAAGCTGAAATTGGAGGTTTTAACCTTGCTGAACAGGACCAATGCTTGTTAACTAGGAATTATCAAGTACATATACTAAAATATTGTGCTAGCCCAAAATGCAGATTCTGTGATAAATATCCAGAAACGATTGATCATTTTGTATCAGGTTACATGATATTGGCACCCATTGAGCATAAGAACCCGGCATGAGAGAATGTGCTAATCTCTGCACTCGAAAATATGTAACTTCTACGGTAAGGAAACTTAAATAAATTGGTATGAACACCTTCCACAACAGGATACGGAGATAGGACCTGTTACAATTCTATGGGACTACACAATACACACTGACAGATCAATCAAAGCCAACCGCCCAGACATTGTTATTAGATAACACAAACAAAAGTCTGTCTGTGCATGACAAGTGCCTCCTGATTGATATGGCAGTCCTTGCAGACTCCAATATATCTTTTGAAGATATTCAAAAAACTGTCAAAATACAAGGTGTGACACTATTTAGGGTTATGGGGAAAAAAAGGCGAGAATTAATTTAGGTGATTAGAAGCTATCACGAAAAGACACCGAGCGAGGTTATTTTTCTAACAAAGAAAAGTGGTAAAGATTTTATTTTCATTAGCGAAGAATGATACCGGATTTAATTTGATTTATGTTACGACGCGGCGAAAGAAGATAGCAATCTGTCCATGGCAATAATGAAAATTTCAGGTTGGTCAAGTGGCCTACGAAACAGAAACTGGGAGATAATGATAATCAGGTCAAGCGCTCTGACCGAGAAAAATGTCAGCTGGACCACCCACAAGTTAGAAAGAAAGAAATATTAAACCATTAACTATCGTCGGAGATAACATTGGTTTGAAAGAAAAACACCTGTTTTATTGTCCAAACCTGGACATGATAAAAAATTATTTTATCGGAACAGATAATTGGCGAAAATGCTCGTTGACGAACCACCAGATGAAAAAAATCATTAAATAGAGATTAGAGACCATCCTAAGATTCGCGTCGAGGTCTCCTCGAAGAAAAAAAAAAAAAAAAAAAAGATATTTTTTTTTTTTTTGAGCGATAATTGAGGCAAACACCCACGCTGTTGAGAGTTCATTGGCTGAAGGGTGGCGTGAGCGGTAGGCGAAGGTAAACTCTGAAGAAGGAGGGGAGGCCTGTTGACGCCCCCTGAAGGGATTGGGCGAGATACCCATATGAGAAAGGAAGAATTTGGGAGGATGATTCCCTTAAACTAGAAATTAAAGATTTCCAAAAATGGAAAGTTATGAATTTTCCTGACCGAAAACAAAGAAAACCCTTAATGCGGATTTAGAATTATCAAGGAACCTCAAACCCTAACAAGCCCACCCCGGTTTTGGTCGGCGCCCATATAAGCAGAGTCGCAGCGAGTGGACGGCAGTTTTGCAGTTGGCGTTGAAGAGACAGGCAGGCAGTTGCAGTTGAGTTGTGAGCTCTGAGACCCACCTCGAAGGGACCTGACTGAAAAATTCACGTATTCTCGACCTCAACTTCTAACCAAGAACAATTTATTTTTGAAGAACGACTTAGACTCACACCACCAAAACAAGTTTTACAAATATCGCCTGAAGATACACCAAAATCAGTTTCTTAAAAGAACAATTTAAGATGTTAAGACTCGGCTAACAAACAGAAAATGTCCCGAATCCATATAAGCGGGTTGGGAGGAAGAATCAGTCCTGTATTCAGCAACCAGATATAAAATATTGTTATACTTTTTTAACACATTTGAACTTTTCGAGTTATTACATTATTTTCTTTTACATATACTTGTGCGGTATTGCCCTTGTTCGGACTCGACTTGCATAACGGCCCGGCAACTGATTGATTTCGTCTACCTAAGATCAAATCACAACGTGGGTAGGTTAGACTAAAAATCAAAACAGTTACTTCGGTAACCAGACGTTGGAGGCGAGCTGGGAACGACAAGGCTGATAGCGAATCTAACCAGATTTCCATCCGAATCAGCAAAAGGTTAGAACGTCACATTTGGTGCCGTGGCACATGGGAACATCAACAATCCCTGTTGTAGTTTGAGCACTAGGATTGGTTCGAAAAGACTACAGTAGAATAATTGAAGGGATTCCTAGAAGTTCATGCCTCAAAGACATGAAAAAAATGTTCTGCCAAGTACAGCCCATACTTCACGAAGGGCTTTATCAGTGTAGTTTTTTTTTTTTTTTTTTTCGTCAGTGGAAAGTGTCATGATGCCATTTCTAACCTTAGGTCTCTTGACGGTACCCGGTAAGTAATGTGTATACCCCAGAAATCAAAGGAAACAAAATAATAATAATAATAGTTGGCAGCTTTTAAATGAAAAAAATCCGGACCCTCGCCTTTGTAATAATGGCTTGAACCAATATATATAATCATTTTCTAAATGTAACTTGGCTTGGCACATGTCCACGTCTCTGTTAATGATCCACCTCAGAAATCACTAAAAAAATTAAAATAATATATCTTGCTATCTCAGTAATGAATAGCGGCTCGAAGTGAGGAATCGGAGAGCCGAGTTCGAATTCCAGTCAAATCCATTACATTCTCTTACGTGATAATACCCCTAGGAATGTTATGAATCCTCTTCTTCTCCCCATCAGCTATGGGTAAATAGCAGGACAGACCGGGTTCTATAGCGTTGGATGGCAGCTGGTCTACCGCAGAAAGAAATGGCAACGTACTGCGGGAAAAAATCTGCTTAGTCAGTCATATATTAAAAGATACATGATCGCCTAAGCGTGTATTCTCGCATGGCGCATAACTGACTGATATCTCGCTAAACACTGATACAAAACCGAGGAATCAGAAGACGTTCTTAATTGTTATAAAGAATCCCTAATATTTCTGAGTAATTTTGGCGGCATTTTTATCATTTCACTTTCTCTCAAGAATGAATGGTAAAACATAATAACATTTCATTTATTTATTTATTATAAAAATCTTTTAACTTTTGAAATCAATTATCATGGCCCCATTTCCATTCTTCACCTATTTCGTCATTATTTTTTATATTCACATCAAACATTCGAATCTTTCTTCGAAAGAAAGACATTCCCGACGTCCATCGTTGCCCTCCTCGCCTCTTTTCTCTTGTTATTAAAGTCTAATAAACAATGCCACACGGGGGATGTGCTTGGTCCCAGCTGTCATCAATCAAGCGCCAATGACCCTACGCCATATCCCTGACTTATAGCGGGCAACATGTGAAGTCTCCCACGGAACCATACGTTTATACGCCATCCAACACCATGATCATCTAATCTACACGCTTCACATCCTAGTTTTCCGTTTTTCTTAATTAGAAGTCGACAAAATCCACGGAGACACAGGCGCATGTCTACTGAGATAATTGCACGTATTACATGGTATATAAAACCGTCTCACTTACTGGTATGCAAGCGTGTATTTATCGAGGTCAGAGATAGTTTTTAGCTCGTTTCAAACACCGTACAGTATCAACGATTGGAAATCTGCAATTGCCAGTGACTTTATAGCAGGCTGAATAGTTTATACTCTGAAGTAGTTTATATTCGATGAGTGTTGAGAACTGTTCTGTTTAGGCAAAGCATTTCGGGTGAGTAATGTCTTTAAACTGAAAGAACGTAAAAATATAATGAAATCTTGAACTGTATTTTTTAGCTTTAAAAAATAACGCATAAACCGAAAATATATTAAATATTTGTCGGACTGTATCCTTTTTTCATCATCATATATATATATATATATATATATATATATATATATATATATATATATATATATATATATATATATATATATGTTACGGTGTTTTGGGTATATACTGTATGTAACTAGTGAGCGGGTCAAAGTGACTTATTTCCCTTTATAGTCTACCAATAGAAGATTAACCAATCAGGAGCCGCAGAACACTGTATCCGTCGTGTATAAAGGCGGCCATCTTTGTTTTTTCCTACCGGAATGAGCAGAGCCAACTTCTCAGGCTAAAACGACAGAAGGAAGAACTACGCTCTGCTACGATATTCACTGCGAACCTGCACTATGCTTTCCTACTCTCTCCGAAATATTCACTGCCAACCTCTGGATTCTATACTCGAGGACGACCGTCATGAAAATGTCTAACAATATATATGTCATTCGAGACAGTACTGTTTCGCTGTATCTCATCTCCTCAGTGCGACTAGACAACCGAATGCCTCAAGCCCGGATCGAAACCCAACAGTTTTGCTTTCAGGCAGAGCTACTACACTGAGCCATCTTCACTCGACAGAAGGAGTCAGCGAAATCTAGCGTATTGTTTTTATAAACGTAAACAAACGCCAAGCAGCCATAGTGCTCCATTCATTTTACTGAATTTTATAATTTATCATCATACGTGTCCACTGCTGTTCAAATGCCTTTCTCTATTACATCCTTGATAACGATGACTTTGCGAAAGTATATTATATCTTTATCTATAATTCCTTCTATCTCATATCTCCATTTTGTTTCTGATTATTTTTTACTGTGTTATCCTTTAAGCAACATGTTCTTTTTTTTCTTGTTAGTTCTGTGTAGATCCAGGCAATATTTGCAGAAGAATAATGTGTTTCGCATCACCTTCAATTTGACATGACCAGTAAGAGAGTAGTTCTTATTTTTGCATTAATTCAAAACTTAGTTGTACTCTAGCTGATTATATGAAAATCAGCTCGGCCATTTTTCGTTAATTCAAAACTTGTATTATATTAGATTTAAGTATTAAGATCAAATCACATTTTTACATTTAATGCTTTCTCACACCAAATTCACTTGACATATTAGGTGCAGTGTATAATCAGAAATGTAAATATGGCGTAATCTGACGTGTGACCAATCACAGATAAACAATACAGCAACTTTTGCTAAGAATACGCAATCTGCAAACGTATAATTATTAATCCTGCTTTCTCAATTTTCCCTTTTCTCTTATCTGATATGTTTTTTTATATATATTTCCCTTATCTATTGAAGGCCATGTATATGTTGATTTTCTTTGGAATTCAATCTCTACGTTCTGTTTCGCATTTACACTGATAAGGTGTCGCTTGGTTCTTAAATATGGACATATTATTTTATTTGAGAACATTATATATATTTTTCGTTTCGTGAGAAAATGTCAGTCCGAGCTCTGCGCTGTGACAAATGTCTTTGGACTCTCAGATAACTCTGGAATTTAAGACACGTAGATTATAAGAAACAAATGATTTAATATTCGCGTATTAATTGCTTTAACGACATCACTTTGGTTGCTGCACTCTCCGGCCTTTACTGAAGAATGTCTCATTCAGGGCTCATTGAACAAAATCACGTTTCCGTTTTCATTCTTGGATGCTCTGAAATTTCCTCAGCCCATTCGAGTATTGGTTCACGGTTTCCACACGATAGACATTGATGCTGTAGTTACTGTAGCATGAGTTACTAGTCGTACGAACAACTGATTTTGAATTCAGAGTGGTTATTTTTTAACAGTAATTTTCACCATGTATAGTAACTTTCACCATGCTCAATGTTAACTGTTTTCCGTAGACTAGTTGTCAAGCAAAGCTAGAAAGACAAGCCTTTACTGCTATTTAATCGTTAGCTGTGTGCAGGGATAGTTTGAACTAAAGTGAAAATAACGAAAGTAGTTGAACTTGAATCTCTGGTTACCATTCTACGTCGTTAACCGATACGCTCCCCTTTCTTTCCCTTTTACACTAATCTTGAATTTTTTTTTGTCACTGTCATTAGGACCATCTTAATAGAATAATGGAATTGAAAAGGGATTCATTTCATAGATTACCAAATGAAGACGGAAAGTAACATTAACTAAATCTTAGAGATTAAGATGAAAATGACGTTGTGTATCCAAATAATCCGTATAATATCCGATTTATAACATTAATTAGATCCTTTCCTGATATAATCCGTTATTTCCTTTTCGACAATTTTCAGATAAAAAATAAGCAAATATTCCGGTTGTGATTCGATTAATTCTGGGCGATTATTTCGACACCTTATAAAGGCAACATATCGAAAAAATAATATGTTGCCTTATAAAGGCAACATATGGGAAAAATATGCTAATGACGTTATACGAGGACGCATTTTGTCATACAGCAAAAAACACCATTAAATCTCTCCACAAAACAAGATCCGTTTCAGAAGAGCCAATTGCTAACTATTCCAGTGTACAATAAAAATTTCTCCAGCTTCCGATAGTTCGATATAATAGTTTTTGAATCATACCAAACACAACGTATTCCCCAATTGATTGGAATTATGTTCTGTTGTTTAAGAATATCCTCAACCTTGCCATGATTTTCTTTTCGCTTTCTATTCTTTTTTTTTTTTTTTTACTATTCACAAAATTCCATAACCAATAAATATGAGATCAAATGTAACTCTTGTGTGTGAACAAAAAGAGAAAGAAAAGTCTTTAAACTATGACCGATGTTCAATTCCATAAATTTATATATAATGTATTTTTTGGTATCTGAATTTTCTCATGCTTGTTTAAAACGTAAAAAATATGAAATAATTGAATATACAAAACCAAAAACAAAACGATACTTTTCGAAAGCATGTTTATATGGATATATGTATGGATTTATTTAAGTAGCTTAGCGATGAATTTAAGAGATCTAGAGGAGCTATCAATAGATACTGCCTATATACAAAACGTAGATGATATTGCCGAGATAAAATTCATTAGCTAAGGTAGTCGTAAGAAACAGCACAAAGGGATAAACTTTGACTGTATGGCAAACTGTGGGGAAGATTAAAACTAACAACTTAAGTTCTCACTTGCATAGAGGGTATGCCAACGTCAAGCAGTTCTGGAAATTTTACTTTTTTAAAAAGAAATCGTTTGACCCAAAGGATGACGGCAATGCCGTTAGACCGAGGTGGGTGACATGGAGTGAAAATGAAAGAGAATGGGAATATTGAGAATGGTGAGGATTGAGGGAAATACAAAAATGAATAAGTTTCGAGAAGATAGAATATGGCAATGGTAGTTGCATTTCAATTTTCTGAAGATTAAAATCAAGGAAGCAATAAAACCGAAAAGAGTTCCATGGGTAGGAAGTGGGAGAAAAGAAACTGTTAGACTTGAAATGATGGTTATATTTACATAATTCAACACTAAAAACCTGGGACATAGTTGTTTATCTCATAGATTCATGTTGGCGGGGGCAACGGAAAAAAGCACGATATAGCAGTTGCCATGAAAATATTTGTAGAAGAGACAACGGGAAGTCACGCCACGTCGGTGAGAAAGTAACTGAAGTCGAGATTAGAGGTCAGGATCGAGTACATTACTGATTCTTCTTTGGATTTTGTCAAGAATCTTGAGATGTTCAACGGGAACTCTAAACTAAATATTTCAACAGTATTCAGTTCACGAAGGAATGATAGTTTTTAAATGTGCAAGATGGATTCCCAAGAGAAAAATTGAACCAAATCTCCTTGCAGTAGATGCTGCTGTAGATTTAATATAACCACTTCTCTTCATGTCAGTGGAAAACGTGGGGCCAAGATGGCGTTGCGTGTTGCTTTCCTGGTGCTTAGCATCTGTTATGGTGGTGTCAGGCGAAAAGGTTCTCTGTTGTGATTGAATAAAAGAAGTTTTGTTTGGAATACATTAAAATTTACAAGCCATTCCTTCGCCCAGTTCACCACTGATTGAATGTCCTCTCCAGACCAGATTAACTTTATCAGATCTTTTTACTTGGACATGGCTAAAAGGTAATGCCATCTTCATAATAGCTGTTTGGGATCTGATTACACGGGCATATCATTGATTAAGATCTGAAACAGTAGGTCCCAGGATATTGCCCTGGGTTCGTATGAAAGGATCAAGAAGCGGGCACGGTCAACACGATATTGATTTTACTTTCGGCTTGGAACGATTCGATTAAACCAAATATTCGTCAAGTGACAGCGTAGCCCTGGAGCTTGCTTAGAAGGCCAAAAGATATCGAACGCCTTCGAAATGTCTAGATCCACAGCTGGAGCTTCGGCATTCTTATGTAAAGATGATCAAATTCAGTGATGGTCATCGACGTAGACCTAGCGAAATTAAAGCTATATTGTTTTTTTTTTTCCGAATGGAGATCGTGCGAAGTAAGCTACTTAACTACTTCAGTAATAATTAGAGTATGTTGCCGAAAGCGGTAAGAGACTAAAAAATAGGGCACTAATTTGAGGGTTAAGAGGGTTACCCAGCCTTTATAAAACAGGAAATATAGAAGAATACTTCTAACAAGCTAAAAAGCAGGAGGCAGCGAGGTAATTACAGTTAAGTTTGAAGAGATCAGGAGCCTGCTCAGGAGTACATTTCTTTAGCACGACAGACGGGATCCTGTTACATCTACTTACCTTGCGGGGATGTAATTTAGAAATGATAATTGAAACCAGTGACGGTATTATCCGTTCTAAGGGGGAAATCTTGCAGGGGAACCCCAGATTAGTCTAGCGTTGAGCTGGAAGACAACTTGCGAGCAAAGCACTCTATCTTAGTGACTGGGTAGTGTAGTAAGAAACTAAAGAAATTCTGACATGAATTCTAACCTAAGAGAAAGATAGCTTTGAGAATCTGAATTAAGGAATCAAGTAAATAGTCCATCACTGTTAGATAATAACAAATGTCCTGTATGACACTGAACGATGGAAAAAATTTTCACAGCTGAAACAAATACTTCAAACATCAGAGATGTTGTTTTGCAGATTAAACCTGTATATATGATAGCATATGTGAAGATACAAAGAGTAAAATATATTGTCGTTAGACATTATGAGGTACCAAAAGAGTTGTGAATTTCATATTTCGCTGTGAAAATTGAAGACAAACGAAACAAGGAAAAACATCAAGTACGCTACCTGTTAGTTTTAGGTTAATGAATAGAAGATCATGTACCGCCAAGACCGAAAGAGCAGCAAAAAATGCAAATAATACTCAGAGTAACATAGAGAGAAAGTTGAGGTGAACCGTGATGATCCATGTCCTGAAATAACAAATATATATATATATATATATATATATATATATATATATATATATATATATATATATATATATATATATATAAACAGAATACAGGTTTTAATTTTAATTCTAACCATACACTCTGTTATTAAACATTTTATTTTGCACTCAACACTAACATTTACAAGACACCAGCAGTAGTGTTGAAACAAAATGGCTATTTTTGTAGTGATATTATAACATGCTTATGTTATAATTTATATATATATATATATATATATATATATATATATATATATATATATATATATATATATATATACGTGTGGGGGGTCGTCTGGAATATGATAGACAAATAATATCTTCAGAGATATGATTTGGCCCTCGTGTTTTATGCAACGGAACAAAAGGCCGGTTTAAGTCTAAGAATATGAGCAGGTCCTTTCTCTGTCACACACAGACAGTGGGTGACAGAGAAAGGACCTGCTCATATTCGTTTTTAAATGGACGAATAATTTAGACTAGAAATTTGACCATCAAGAGACAAGAACTGAATACATTGTTCATATTTTTTAACGTTGGTACATCTCTGTTTATTCTCGGGAAAATCTGTAACAAATAACACCATTTTTTTAATTTCTTATTCGAAACACCGATATAAAACAAAAAGCCACATATCAATACGCCAGCGTTTGCCGGGTGAAATTATCGAGTAACTTAATCCGATCATGCGATAACAGTTTTGGTTACCGTATGGTCGGGTTATCGGCAAATAAAAAGGGTCCCCTACCATGTTTTTTTTGTTGAAGAGGCTGACTGGACACAAAGCAGGAATAAAGAAAGCACCTGTGAAAGGATGGATTAAACATTCTTGTGGGATCAACTGATATCTCGCACACTACGGTAGAAAGGCTCTATAGTTACGTATATAGCCTGGGTGGGGATGCTTCCTATACTGAAATATACGGTCAAATAGGAGGGTGCCTCCACCAAATTGGACGATATCGGCTGTAGGTTGACCTGGCTAGGGATGGCTCCACCAGGTTAATCCACAGGTCTACTTGGCATTCATAAATCAATATCTCTAGAGTTTACAAATCAGATATGTGGCAAGTAATTGTCATAACCTTTGGCCACACTCGGTGTTGCGTATGATGATGATGATGATGAATCTTTTGATTTTAGAAAATCTGCATTGGAGATGCTTAGATTTAATATACATATTCATTACTTGACATCACTAAATATTTAATTTCCATCTGTATGTAAAATATACTAACGACATAATCCCAAACTTATATGGTCAAAAATGTCTTCACTCCTGAAAATTTATATATACGAGCATATGTGTAACTACGGTATCGTCCATAGACATAAATACTAATTTAAACACAGACACACACACACACACATATAGAGGCGAACACACGCACATGCAAACAGACTGGTAAAAACATTTGAATTATAAGTATGAATGGTTCCTTTAACTCCTTCGATTCTCGACAACTCTCTGTCACTGGTACGGTGCATCGCGCTATGTTTGTTCAGTTCCGGAATAATGGCGGGCGTATTTAATTGGCAACGATACGAAATTAAACGTTCGCGCCAAGCGTAAGAAAGGAAGAAGGAAAGAGTAGAGTGGGTCCGGCAGAGGCGATAGATGGACATGGAAAGGGGCAGAGATTTAATTATGTTGTCCGGATGTTCTGAAGATGGCAAAGGATTTCGGGAAACATCTCCTGAGATGAAGCAGCTCTTCCGCTTGTGATTGTGTCCTTGTTGTGGTAGACTGCATCAGAGGAATGAAGAGCAAAGAGTTAGAAGGGGAGGAATCCAAACACAGAATGACAGAAAGAGACAAAAATGACGAGAGAGAGAGGGAGGGAGAGAGAGAAGAAGAAGATGGGGATAAAGATAGAGACAGATTGACTGAAAGAGAGAAATGGGAGAGAGTGTAAAAGAAAGGGTTCAGAAGATTTAAATAAATAGCCACTTCTTATTCACCTGTCTTGCCTAATTACTTTTATAGTCGTTGTCATCTCTCTTGTACTCACATATATACGTATGCACGTACATAATTACACACACAAATATATATATATATATATATATATATATATATATATATATATATATATATATAATTGGAATAATTTTTACATACCACAAAAACAAATATAACGATTTAAAAGAAAATGAATTTCTTTTGTATGACCATTTTTTTTTTTTTTTTTGCAGGACCTAGGTACCTTTCGGCCAACGCTTCATCAGGGTCTTTCGTTGGCAAATGATTTTAAACAATTTGAGTCTATTTTGGAAGCCATCTGCCTCAAATTATTTAAACCATCGCTTTCTAAACAAAAGGAGAATTTTTCACGATCGCTAAATTTATTTTTGATATATGAGCAACTTATTTTCCTATCTTACTGCTCAGGTTGGTTCATTATTATTAATTCATTATTTACGCATTTATTTTAATCGTAAATTTATTTTAATTTTACGTATATATATCCTCGTAAGATTTTAGACGTGTTCCAACCATACCATTTTAGCGTTCTTCTCATTTTCATTGTTTGTTTAAAATCATTTGCCAACGAAAGACCCTGATGAAGCGTTGGCCGAAAAATACCTAAGTCCTGCAAAAAAAAAAAAAAAAAAAAAATACAAAAGAAATTCATTTTCTTAAATCGATATATATATATATATATATATATATATATATATATATATATATATATATATACAGGCTGATTGAAAAAAAGTAACTCCTATTTTATGTCGAAGGAAAGCCAGGAGGCATGGGTTAACACCATGTTCCTTTTTTGTTAGTTAAAGAAGCAAGCCTACTATACCAAGCCAAGACTTTGGAAGGACTTGAAGGGTGAATACAAGAAGTTATGTCTTCTATATCAAAAGAGTTCCTGGGGAAATCAATTGATTCGATTCTTGGCCAGTTCAAAAAATCTGCTTGCGAAATCTACTGCCCATATCGATATTTCAATAAAAATAAAACCTCATACTTAACGATTTCCACTAATATCTATTTCTTGTAAAAATTAGGGCTAATAAATAAATTATAAATATATTAAAATAGTAAGGTACATTTCTTCATATATATATATATATATATATATATATATATATATATATATATATATATATAATATACTAACAGCATGGCCCGGCGTTGCCCGTGTTTGATTCAAAAAAAAATCGTACGACTCATACAGTAATCGCTCTCACTTGACTTAAAATATTTTTTTGCCCTTCCTTGCCTTTAAAGGAGTGCCCTTTGCCGTGCTGATGTTGCTACATGCCTTACTTCTTGCCTATCTCACACTTCGAATTTTTTCTAAGTTCTATACTAAACATTAAATCTGTTACGAAAAAAAGAACTAAACAAAATGAACACAAAAGGATCATCTTTAAAAAAGAACTCGTAACTGGAAAAACCGAATGAAAAAAGAATGTTAACATAAATACTTTTTCACATCCAACCCAGTTCTGCGGAAGCAGAATCAACGTTGAGTTTTAGCAAGCGAATGAGCCAATTGGAGTAAAGTGCCATGCAGATTTAAATTTTTCCCACTTGTAAAGAATGCAGCTATCGATTTTTTTTGCATGCTAGCATGCTAGTTAACATTCGTGTTAGTCAGCTGTTGGCTCTCACGCTGGCCAATAGAATCTTCCTGTCTATTAGTGGCAGCCAGCTACAGGCTCTTACTCTGGCCAGTAAAAAATGGCCGCAAACTACAGGAAAACTGCCGTAGAAGCATGAAAAAATCTATTATTTCCACTATCGATTAGAGTTGGGAAATGCAAAGTCAGTTTTGGCCTTCCGCTTACGTGGAGCATGTGCATGTAAATTTTGGTGCAAATCCGTCGAAAATTGCGGCCGTGCATTCGTTACACACACACACACACACACACACACACACACACACACACACACACACACACATCCTGCCTTTTATAGATAGAGATATCAAAAACAATTTTTCTTCGTATTTATCTCGAAGGAGGAAATTATAAATAACATCCAGTTATCGTTAAAAATATAAATAAGTTTTAAAGCGAAAAATACCAATTAGTTATTTTCATAGAAAACAATTGACAAAATAGACAAAATGAAACGGTTGTTATTAAATGATAAAACGGTATATGCGTTCTTCATAATGAAGATCAGTCGCAGAGGGGACAACGTCCAGCTAATACTTCTCCCATGAAAAAAAGGCTAGGTTTAATGTTTGAGGCCTCTACAACGAATAAATGTTAAGTGGACTGGACTACTACCGGCTACGAGCCCCATGTACGACAATTTTAATGCGACCCTTGTGCCACATTACTTTTGAGGGAATGGAAAGATAAACACTAAAATGCTTACCTTGCAATTATACTCAGCACCCGAGCTGGGAAAGCTTCGACCCAGGAAGTATTTCTCCCCACGGGGATTACTCGTATTAATCTCTGTCGTCCCCAAAGAAAATACTGAGGACTTGAGCAATTATTTATCCTCATCTCACGTACGCATTTGGCTCCTAATTAAAACTTATTCCCTACACCCACGTGTATTTATCTGTTGCCATAATTTTACATAATATTTCCACATATACACGGAAAGAAAACAGAACTTAAATATTGAATAATTTTCAAGTTTTGCAATCGAACAGACTTCAATATGGGAGAAAAGGACATACATATCTCTATGTACGAGAAAATAATAATAATTTATTAATTGCTACAAGGAATAGTTAAGTGAAACCTTGAGGAATTTAAATAATAGATTAATTGAACAAAAAAGGAAATTAAAAAACAAAAAACAAAAACAAACTAAAAACAACTCACTTAATGCATTATATGCTTACCATAATAAGTCAAACAATAAGTTCGGTTAAAAAACCGCTAATCTTTTAATTAGAAAAAAAATTACAAAGAGGAACGTGTATAGAAAAATGCTTTAATCGCTAGAGTATCCATATTAAATTTGTGTCCAGTTTCTTATAACATTTCATCTTCCATGTACAATCTATGATTACAATATCAGGTGCTTAATAACAAAAGAGATACAATCAGAAACAGTTGCCCGGATTATATACGCAAATAAATGTTTAAAAAAAATGAAATTCAAAATTTCAGCGTCCCCTCTTCTTCGTGCACATGTGTAACGTAAACAACATAGATTTAGTCCGATGAAGCACTGTATAACGAAACACATAACATGAAGGATATTTCTCCTTCGACATTGATTTTCCTCCCACTTTTACACACGCAAACACACACAAACATATACAAACACACACACACACATAAACACACATATATATATTAATATATATAATATTGATTTTTCTCGCTTTTAAAACATACATACACGCACACACACTTACATATATATGCATACATTTATATATATATATATATATATATATATATATATATATATATATATATATATATATATAGTGAGAGAGAGAGAGAGAGAGAGAGAGAGAGAGAGAGAGAGAGAGAGAGAGAGAGAGAGAGATCCCCTACGTGAAAATCCGCTGGGTCTGTAATTAATATCATTTCCAATAAAAAATATTCAATACCAAATTCTGACGGATTTATTCGGAGCAACAGAATATTTTGTCATTTCTAAAATATTCATCCTGCTCCTACAAGTTAAACTATGTAAAACATACTAACAAATTACAAAGCGTTTTTTGCACACATACACATACATTCATACATATATATATATATATATATATATATATATATATATATATATATATATATACTGGACGATCCCATCGATTTCGACGAATGATGGTCAAGCAACTCAGTTCCTAGAAACTGGGAGCCAAACTAACCGCAAAAATCATTTTATTATTGTACTGAAAGCTTGTTCAGAACCAAATTCACTTTTGGGAAAATCCAAATACATAGAACTGGTGCACAATGTGCCACAATGTCCCCAAACAAACCTCCGTAGTATATAAACAGCCCCGTTTTTTCAAATAAGGGCATTGTCCACGATTTCAAAAAAAAGTTAACGGGTTTATCTCCTCAAACATATCTATATGTCATAATGACACATATAATGAAACATTATAAGGGATTAAAATACAATAGTTGCTTTAAATACTGTATTTACTTTTCCTGTAATGCCGGGCAATGCGATTTTTATGATTTAAAGAGGACGTATGTTTAAAACCTGCTCAATGTCACACTTTCTTTATTAAAGAATAACGAAAACACAGGCTATTTCACGGTTAAAAAATATCTAATCAGACGGGTGCATCAATTTATTGTAATATTTTTCATTTATTTTTTTAAACATTTCACTTAAATCAAGGGAGGTTCACCACTAGTACGCAGGGGCTTACAGAGAGTAAAAGTGAGAAAAACATCTGAGTATAAGGAGGATTGATGAAAGGTCAAAGGATGAACGGTATTCAAGAACATACAAGATGACGATTTACGTTGCATTTAATTTTTTTCTAGATTATATTTATTCGGGAAACATGTAAACAGAAGGGAGTTCCACAGGTGGGATGCGCGAGAAAAGAAAATGTTGGAGTAGATGTGGCGGTTGCATTTACCTATTTCAGCAGTAAAATGGTGGAACCTTGATGGCAATTAAATTCTGTTAGAATTTTTGGGTACTTTGTACTAGTGAGCCAACCAAAATGAGCTGACTCATTTTATAGTCCACCAAAAGAAGGTTTAACCAATCAGAAAACTCAAAATATTCGCTCCGACGTGTATAAAGGCAGCCATTTTGTTTTTTCTTCAAAAATATCTTCACTGCCAACTACTGATATCGAAGACATGAAGAATTACTGAACAGCTGCTACTTTCTCCGAATATTCACTGCCAACCTCTGATATCGAAGACCTGAAGAATTATAGAACAGTTGCTACTAGTGACATTAGCGTTGATGCATTGAACACATTACGTACTACACTGGATTATATATCGAAATACTACGGCAACCATGGTCAACAAATTCATGAAGTCCTGGCACTAAGAAAAATATCTCTTCAGAGCAGTTGGCATGAAAATATTTGTAGAAAAGACAGAGGGGAGCCGCGCCATGTTGGTGAGAAAGCAACTGAAGTCGAAATGCTAAGACAAGATCGATTACATTACAGGACTTTCTTTGGATTTTTATAATAATAAACACTAATCAATAATATCGGAGTATAAATAATAAGAAATCCCCGTAAAATCCTTGAAATTACGTTTCGGATACGATAATAAATTTAGCAGATATGTGCTTTTCTTTATAAGTCTAACCATGAAAGACCTTTTATTAAAGAACTTACAAAAGGTAATATATGTCAATAGAACTATTTAAAAACAAAGATGATTACTCAAACGTTTGTATTCAATAATTAATAAGGTATCGCGTACATTTCCGTGTATAAGTCGACTTTTAATTCTTAAAATTACCCCCCAAAAAAAAAAATTTGGTGTCTTCTAATACAAGAAATACAAAAAGCTAACCTAAAATTCTGTGTTTTTTCGGCACTGGTAAATAGGCTAGTATGCTTGCGTCATGGATTGTCAGGCCACGATAGCTCTCGTATGTGTGTATATATATATATATATATATATATATATATATATATATATATATGTGTGTGTGTGTGTATGTGTGTATATATATATATATATATATATATATATATATTACTAGTTATAGATATATATTCTTTAGCCTATGGGGAATGCTCCAGTGTGTGTGTGTGTGTGTAACAAATGCACGGTCGCAATTTTCGACGGATTTGCACCAAAATTTACATGCAAAAGCTCCAAGTAAGCAGGAAGGCCAAGACCGACTTGCATTTCCCAGCTACAATCGATAGTGGAAATAATCGATTTTTTCATGCTTCTACGACAGTTTTTATGTAATCTGCGGCCATTTTCTACTGGCGACAAATTGGCAGGAAGATTCTATTGGCCAGCATGAGAACAAACAGCTGCCTAACACGAATGTTAACTAGCATGCTAGCATGCAAAAAACAATCGATAGCTGCATTCGTCACAAGTGGGAAAAATTTAAATCTGCATTGAACTTTACTCCAATTGGCTCATTCGCTTGATTCGTTGATTCTAATTCCGCAGAACTGTGTTGGCTTTGAAAAATATTTGTTGTTAACATTCTTTTTTCATTCGGTTTTTCCAGTTACGAGTCCTTTTTTAAAGCTGATTTTTTTTGTGTTCATTTTGTTTAGTTCTTTTTTCGTAACAGATTCAATGTTTAGTATAGAGTAATTCGCAGTGTGAGATAGTCAAGAAGTAAGGCATGTAGCAACACCAGCACGGCAAAGGGCATTTCTTTAAAGGCAAGGAAGGGCAAAAATATTTTAAGTCATGTGATAGCGATTACTGTATGAGTTGTACGATTTTTGAATCAAGCACGGACAACGCCGGGCCATGCTGCTAGTCCATAAATAAAATAAAATAGGACAGAAACATATTTTTCTGTATAGTGTTCTATTTTATATAAAACTCATATTTTATATACAAACAGATGGAAGTTCCTGCCATATGCTTTTGCAATTTGATGATGGCTTTCTATACTTATTAAGTCGGGGACATACACTTTATTCAGTTAACGGAAGCACTCCATTTTCCATATTGCCGTATGCGAATTATCAAACACAGTATTCCTACACTTTGAACCAACGTAAATTGTTAGTTGATAGGCAACGAGTAAGAGAAACCATTTAAATTGCACCTGTGGATAAATAAACCAATGTATACCTGCTACATATATATTATTCTTCTTTTATGTGAAGTTTCTGTTTTATATGATGTTCATGTTTTTTTTAACATGTGATCGTACGTGGCTCTCCACAGCTTCCAGTTTATTACCTCTGGACATTTGTCCGAAACAGTTACCATTCGTCCATCATAATAATAACATAAACATTTTGACGATAAAACTTTATTTTTATTAAATTTGTGGTTTTTTTCATTACTCTATGCGAATAATTGGAGGCACCTAAATATATATCGAGAAACGAGTGTGAATATCAAAAGTTACACTGTATAGAATCAGATGAATTCCAGGGAAAAATGTTTATTTTCATCAATAAAGCCCAACTGATTTTAGAGCAAATGAAATACAAACAAAAAAAAACGAAATAAGTATAAAAAAAAAATTTAAATGGGTAATTTTGTTTACTTTTATGATTGGTAAAAATTACGAAGACAAGATATTGTCTCTTGGGCTATAAAACACCAAAATAGCCAATAGAAAGTAAGAAAATAAATGAAAATCAAATTAAATAAATATTAACTTGGTTTGCTTTTAATTTTTTGATAACAATCTGAATTATCGTATAAGAGAAAAATAATGAAAGATTTATTTCCCTTTGATGTAATAGGCTATAAGAGAGATATTATCTCTCCGGTAAAGAAATAAATAATTTGACTCCATTTTTCCGCTTTTTATAACACGCAGCAGGCATTTGGACACGATTCTGAATGAAAAAATATATATGCTTTAAATGCACACAAGGTTACGGTATATATATATATATATATATATATATATATATATATATATATATATAAAATAATAATAATAATAATAGTAAAATAATACATAAACCATCGAGTCTAAAAGAAACTTATCAGAATGCAATGTATGATTGTTTGGATTATGCAGCTTTGTGGCCTTCAAATGCTTTGCTTCAACCACCTGATGAAAATCCATGAACGTTGTCAAATTTAAAAAGGTTAAGAAACTATTGACATCCTCGGATTTGTATATAAACACGTGCAACAAAATGAATCCTACAATGTCTTGATAAACTCCCTCCAAGGACAAAACACTTCGCCTAAGAATAGTTTTTCATCTTACCAACAAGAAATAAACCGATAATGCCTGTGTGTTTAATTTTTATAGTATTTTTACAAGTTAATTTTACAAGTTAAGGTGGTGATTATTCTCTTAGAAATTGGGGGTAATCTATCTGAAGTTCAGTTCTGCGGAGAAGTAATTTTTACCGTCGCAGTCATTTTCAAGATGAAATTTGGTATCTGTTTTGGAGTTAGAATTTATCTTGGTATTTGGAAAGTTGTACGTTCGAAAAAAACGCCTACGTCATATATATATATATATATATATATATATATATATATATATATATATATATATATATATATATATAGAGAGGTGGGTGGGGAGAGAGAAAATAGAAAAAGAAAAAAGAGAGTTAGAGAGAAAATAGAGAAAAAGAGGAATAAAGATAGAGAATGAAAAGAGAGAAATATTTTGAGAGAGAAATAGAAAAGGAGAAAGAACGAGAGAGCGAGAGAGGGAGACAGGTGGACACACACACACACACATAGAGAGAGAGAGAGAGAGAGAGAGAGAGAGAGAGAGAGAGTAAGAACCAGAGACGGAGAGGGAAGAAAAGAGTTGGACGTGATTACAATCACTTTTAAACTGCAATACATTTTTACAGTAATTACTCAATTAGCCAACTCTCCCCCTCTCTCTGTTCAACGCATACTCTCTATCTTTCTTTCTGTGTGTGTGTGTGTGTCTGTATGTGCATGTATTTTTAGATAATACATGTGTGGAATAGTAAAGAATTCGAGGCAAATTATAACCGATTTTCCAGTTCTTTTGTGTTAATGATTTCCTTTATTTTTCATTTTTCTCCTTTTTCGGTCAAACAGACATTTGTTTCGCGTTGCAAGTACAGTACAATTCCAAAGAATGAATATTGCATATAAAATACATCTTCCTAAATTCCATGTTATTTACTGGAAGTTCCTTTCAGTCTGTAAATAAACCACGATAGCAGAGTTCGCGAATTACGAGATATAGGCTACTTGGCAGTAACAATGTTTTGGCCATTCTACTTTGTTCAAATTTGGTAAAGCTCTGAGAATTTCGAAAGTCATTAATGTATCCACGGTTCTATAGGTGTCTCACCCAACTGTCCATGCTAGGGATAATCTTGTATTCATTAATCAACATAATTATTTGTATATAATGCACATTCATTTATAAAACACAACCATGGACTACGAAGATAAGAAACATCTTTATTTACACCATTTAAATTCGGACTATTATCCCCATATTTTTTGTTTTCAATAGATGAGGACACTATACCGGATATAAATATAGTCCTGATAAGAAAATAAACTACATCTAACTAGTTTTTCTAGCAGTAAAACATATAAAGATTACTTGAGGTGAGATAATGTCAGTCACATGTAGGGATGATTCAAATGGTCACAATCTATTTATCTACCTCATTGTCCCTATCTAATTCTCCATATCTCATTTTCCCTATCTATCTATCTATCTATCTATCTATCTATCTGTCTGTCTGTCCTGTCCTGGGTATGGCGATAAACTACATCCGCGTCCTGAGTAAGACGAGAAAATACGTCCAACAGCAAGCTCTGTGATCAGGAGGTTTTGAGGAGCGTGGAACCACCTCTTAATTGCTGGTGTTCCCAGATCCAACCTGATCCGGGGTGGTAGCACATGTTAGGGTCCCAACTATTGGTAAATAGTTAACCCCCAAAATGGGGTCAAAAAACTATGAAAGTGTAAAAATAGGATTTAATACCATAAATACTTTGAAAAGATTATTACACCCAATAATTTTTTGAAGAAAAATCCTTACCAGAAATACATTATTACCAGCAATACATTTAAAAACATTACAAGTAATTCATTTTTGAAAAAAAAATATTACCAACAATAAAAATCTTGTTGGCATTAAATAACCCATTGAGGTTGATATGCTGTAAAAAAACAAACAAAAAAACAAACCAAACCGAATATAATTAGTGTAAATAATGATAAACATGCCAATACCAGAAATTCAAAATGAATGAACAAGTATCTCACTTGTGTAATATGTACTGATTTTTAGAATTTGTAACTGCTAAATTCAACTTAAATTTAAGATTATTCCATATCTTTTTCTGGTGTGTGTCTACTAAATTTAGAAAATATATAGTTTTCATTAGGTTTGGAAATTATTTCGATAAACACTTCAAATACCTCGGTGTATGGATCAGTTATAAAACAAATGTGTGACCATGGGAATAAATTGTGCTAGACTCAGTTTCGCCCAATACCGCAAGTTGCTGCAAAACCAAAACATTAACTTAAAAATCTAGTCATCTGCTTAATTAGCATCAATTCAAAACTCATATAGTTGCCATGCCTGGTGCCAAATTCGGTCAGAAATATATACACTGTCAGCTGTGTAGAATCGCTTTCTCAGACCGATGGTTAAGGTGGTTTCGAACAAGTGAATCCGTAAGTTCTAGCAAGAATTTTTTTTTTCGAATCTTGTGATGCGGCTGTGCATAATTCCAAAGAACTGTACCAAATAACAGAAACCTCATCCCTTAAGAAAATTCAACATTAGCAACAACTAAAATGAACGGCACATAAGACCTGAGGAGAAAATAATAACGTAATCAAATTGTTGACGGTCCACCATATTTGATATATGAGAAAACAAATTTCCTGAATAATTGTCTTAATTTATAATTTTCAGCTGAAGCTCGCATTGGCTGACCGGTCAATAATAAGGAAACGGCTAATATAACCATTACCAATTTAAAAACAAAATATTCTTCGTGCTTAATTTCACATTGCATTAATTCAGTTTCTTATGGAAAATGTTTTAAACTTCTACAATATCAACATTACTTCCTAAACAACGCGAAAAGGAAAGCTTACAAATTCACAAAATCAACAAGAACATAAATCACCTTGTTAAAATTAGGCAGAAAATACGACCCACCAACTCAATAATGTCTAAACTGAAAGGAATCTGTCTAAACTTAATATAAAATTGGTTGCGACTTCAAAAAATAATGAATTATTTAATTAAAACAAAGCATTATGACAACATTAAAGCTGAAGCAAGAAATTGCTAAATAGACTGCAAAAATACACAGTAATCAGAAGAAATGCACACAAAAGTTCGATACGCGAAAATAAGCTGGTAACCATCAGAAATAAAATATTAAATAACAAAAAATCACTTTATAGTCGCTGGTGGCCATTTTTCTGTAACGGAAATGGAGACTTCCTCTATTTTTTATGGAAGTAGGACAAGATGATTTGTGGACGTTGGCATCGAACATTACTAAGACATCTACTATGCTGGCAACAGATGAAATTGTCACGACGTCTGTGTTTGACCCGGAGAGCAATGAAGTATACTAACATACGCTTAATGTCTATGTGGATATTTAAAAGTGCAGAATTTGATTAATGATTTGCTACACATTAAAATCTCGAACATAGGGTCGCCTGTGGCCAGAAAAAGTTAAAATTCACTTGGCGTGTATAATACAGTTTCATGCTTACACACCTGGAAAAAAGTGCGTGTTATACGCACAAAATAGATTATTCTCAGATAATTCATCCTATTAATGCCGTTTCTGCTTCTGAACGAAGACATTATGGTTTAAACAGATTTCCAAACTCCTTTTATTATATCTCTTACATTTTCTTGTTCTTTCTTAACTTTTATCATCATCAGCTAGAAGATCTCTTCATTGAATTCTTCCAGGTCCTAACCATTTGAACCCTTACGCCGCTTTACCGGTGGTAGAAAAAATGACTTAGAGCCCAGCCACCGGCTGAACGGTGGGTAAACACTTGTAACTATTTTCATATCTACCGCGAAACATTACATACCGATTATTTGCCAATTTTGACTCAGGGGCTCATGTAGAAGGGTTAAAATTATTCAAGAACGCAGAGTTTACAGGGTTAAGCCATAAATATTTTTATGCGTGTCAATGTATTTAAAATATAAAAAAAAATGGTATTAAACAAATTAATCCTGCTTCATACATCAGATTACTCTTATATTTAGATTAAAAATATTTCGGATTATTAACAGTGCACATCTCTATTAAAACAAGTGGAAATAACTTGTGTAGACAGATTTTATTTTGAATCTGAAATATACAGACAGCAGAAATATAATAAAGATGCTATCCTATATAATTGAATAAATTATTATTTTATTATTTTATAGGTTTCGTCAGAAATACCTTCCATATTTTAATGGTTGGAAAAAAGGCGTTATGTAACTTCTATGAAACAATTTGTTTCACGTTTGTTTAAACGGAGTCCTACGGTTTTTATTTAGTTCATTTTAAAAATGGCTTCCTCAAAATGCTGGACTCTGATTGCCATACACTTTTGTAGACGATTTCTAAATTTTTCTATCAATTGAAGACTCATTTATGGCGGTATTTCTGCCACTTTTTGGCGAATAACACCCGTTAACGGCTCAATAGTTGCTAGTCGATATTCGGAGACCACAGCTTTCAAGAAACTGCATAGAATATAATCACAGTGGGCAAGATCGGGTGACCATGCCGGCCACCCAATGATATTACGTCAGTCAGTTATGTGCTATGTGTGATACACGTTTATGCGATCATCACCATTATTGCCAGCAAAGGGTACCATACACATGGAATACTTTGAGGAAATTGCATTTGAATCAACATCACTAAATTCAATTCTATGACTGAGATACGTAGGTGAAATCCTCATGCACTGGCCCCACCAGGAAGATGTCAAGCTACTACAAATCCATGTAAACTCGATAAGATAATCGACAACAAATTAACATTCATAAAGCATCTAAAATCTCGAACAGAGCATGGATTCAAAACATCCGTCTACCGCCAGCCAGCTTTTACTGAACAATACCTAAACTCCGACCACACATACAATGTAAAGAAAGGGATCGTCCGGTGCCTAAATCAAACAAAAGTCATAAGTGGCAACCCAGAGGTACGTGAAGAAATACTCCTTATAAATAGTACCCTAAAACGAAACTACTCTGAGTACATAACAGCAGCCCCCACAAACAGAATTAAAAGGGTCAGTCAGTTATGTTGCCATGTGTTATAGACGCTTAGTCGATCATGTATTTTTAAATATATGATTGACGCGGCAGATTTTTCCCGCAGTAGGTTGCCATTTCTTTCTGCGATAGACCAGTTATCGTCCAAGACTATAGAACCCGGACTGTCCTGCTATTTACCCATAGCTGGGGTGCGAAGAAGAGGATTCATACCTTTCCAAGGATATTAGCACGTAAGTGAATGTAATGGATTCGACTGGTATTCGAACTTGGCTCTCCGATTCCTCAATCCAAGCCGCTATCCATTACTCCACCGTATGAAATCGAATGATCTGTAAATATCTCTTTCAAAACTTCTATTGAAATTCTCGCCGTGTGTTCATAGATCTTCTCGTCTTGTGTCCATTGACCTTCCCGTCGTGTGGCTCTGTCCTGTTGAAACCATTCATCCTGACTCTCAAGGACGCAGAATTTTTGTTCCAAAAAGGTCCGCATCGTCTATATATATATATATAGATTAGATGTTATTGCAATCGAGTGGTCTACCAAATTTCGCAAATGCGCACCCGACAGTCACTC